CCCTCTCCAGGAAGGCCGCAGGGGAAGGGGCCCTCTCCAGGAAGGTGGTTCCTACCGCGCTGATGATCAGCAGCAGCTTCTTGAGCGAGGTGCAGCGATCTCCCTGCCTGAAGAGCCTGGCGACGACGCTCTCCTTGCCAGAGAGGTTTCTGGAGGGGCTGCCACAGGAGGGTTAAGAGGAGACGCGAGTAAGGCTCGGTGCTTGGACTCTGCTCTTTCCCACCGTGAGAAAGGAAAACCGCCTTCACGGCGGCCCAAGAAGGCCTCGGGCTCCCGGAAGGAGGGGGGCTGAGGGCCAGTCGGGACATGGCCGCGGGGCGGCATCGCAGCGGGCTGCCACACCTGCTCCAGGTGGACGACGGCCGTTGTGGAGTAAGCCCCTCGGAGGTGCTATCAGACGGTGATAAAGGACAGGCGTGACCTCGCGCAGGAACTGAGTCGCGGGGGGTGGGGGCGAGGGCTCGGGGGACCCGGATGACAGAGGGGCAGTTCCCTGCGGCGGGGCTAGGCCCCGGTGGGTGGCAGTGGGCTCTGTGGCGAGTCTCGCTGTGCGGTGGTGCCCGGCGCCGGGCGCTGACGACCCTGAGCTCTTCTGAAGACGGCTGCGGGGCCGTCAACACAGGCCTGCCCTGACCGCCGAAGTTACATCCTGAAACGTCACTTCTACACGTGGGGGCCCCGGCCACAGTTTACGTGAGAATGTGGAGGTGAAGTCATGATAGACAGTGAGGGAAACAGACGCGGCGGTCGGCAGGCACCGCGGCCGGGCCGCAGGGCTGCACCACAGCGCGGGACACTCGCTCTCAGCAGGCTGTGTGGGATCACGGGACACACGTGGTGCTGGGGGCGGGGGCGTGTGTGTTGGGGCGCAGAATCGGAGCCCCACTTCTGCCCCACAGGGGTACCTGACCCACTGACGGCCTCAATGTTCCGTGCAGAAGCTGGAGCAATAGCTGTGCTTCCTCACGGCTTATCCGGCAATTTTTAATTTAAAAATGCACGGACGTCACCGGGAGCCTCCAGGCGGAAGCTGGCGGAGGATCCTAGGAGCCCGCTTGTCGCGCGATTCCCGAGGGGGTGGTTCAGACGTCCTCTGACCTTGGGCGTGTGGTGCCCACGTACCCGAAAGCGAGCTCTTCTCTTTTACCTACCTATTTCCTTTGGCCACGGGGATTTTACCGTTGATGGCGTCCCCATCGGGAACGTGAAATGACGCCAGAAACTGCTTCCAGTCGACCCTGCTGGTGGTCCTAAATCCCATTCTGGGTTCAAGAAAAGACAAACAAAAGTATTACCTGAAACCTTTGAATGCCGCGTGGGCTCGTGCCTACGACTGAATCCTGCATGACATGAAGTTTCACATCCGAGGTAAGCGAGACCATTCGGTCAAGTGTCACCGCGAGTCCATTTCTGAACGCAAGGAACCCAAGCGGCAGCCTGTCTCCGTGTCCGTCCGTCCGTCTCCTCCACAGTGGCGCCCGTGGAGGGAAGAGACAGGGGAGTGAGTGCTAAGGCCAGACACTGGCTTCAGATCCGCCACGGCAGAGCCAGTGACGTGACAGGCGGGCCCCGGCCGGGGTCCGGGCCGACCCCAGCAGCTGCGCCTAGGCGGCCTCTAGGGAAGGGGTCTGCATGGTGTTAGGGTGACACCTTGAGATGGGGTGCAGCTAAGGCGACCATTTTGGCCGACCTCATCACAGCTTGCTTCAAATGGGCCAGTGTCCCCAGCTGCAGCCAGATGTGAGAAGGAACAAAGCAGCTCGCTGGCTCTGGAGACGGAGGGCGGGGCCCGGAGCCCGGGGCCAGAGGCCGCCAGTGGCTGACCGTCTCCCGAGGCAGGACAGTGAGACCAGGCCGCCGGCCGAGGGCCCCCCCACCCGGTGCTGGAAGGAGGGGCCGCGGTCAGCCTGGAGCAGGCGCGGCGGCCCGAGAGGCCGCTCCACAGAGCACAGCCTCATGGTGTGAAACCAGAAGCTCAAACCCAAGCGAAAGCTCCGGCCCCTAGAGAGAAAGAGGGAGTCCCGGAAGGGGAGACCCCGAATTCCATGCCACATTTCTGGCAGGTCCTAAAGGTGACATGGTCACACTCAGAATCGCTGCGCTGAGCACAAGAGCTGAGTGAGGTCAGAGCCCCCCGCCGCGCGTCCAGCTGAGACACTCACACAGGAGGACACTAACGTTCGCTTTAGAAGCAGCTTGGCGGTGCCACCGCTGAGCACCCGGGTGCCCGGGGTGCGGCCCAGCATCACCGGGCAGGAGAACTCAGGACAGCGGCAGCACGCGCAGGACAGGAGTCAGCGTCAGGCGCCCCGTGACGCTGGCGTCACCAGACAAGGATGCTCAAGGCAACGATTACCGCTGTCCTTGGTGAGCAGTTACCAGGAGATGGAGAAAGAGCAGTGACAAATGGGTTTAATAGAAGGAGCTAAGTGGCAATTCTGGAATGAAAAATACCCCATGAACTCTCCTCAAGTCACTGCGTGCAGCTTTAGGGGCGCGGGGTGCAGGCCTGTCCCTCTGGGTGCCCCGGCACAAGGAAGAGGGCCGTGCTTGGAGGGTCTCTCTGGGTTGGGGGCCGCGCAGGGCTTCTGTCCTGCGACCCTGAGGGATTCGGGGGAGCCCGCAGGCTGCCGTTCCGGCAGAGCAGACAGCTAGGGAAGCGGCCAAGGCCGGGCGGCTCCGTGAGCTTCGGCCTCACCCCGGAAACAAGCACAGCTCGTCGGCCCTTGCCCGGGGAGCAGGCGCCCGGCACGTCGTGGAGAAAGGGGTGGCAGAGCCGGGCCGGCGCGGGCCACCGGCTCCCAGCTGAGTGACCACGAAGCAGGGACAGAGGTCAAGGCGGAGAACTGCCCACTGCCCTGGCTAAGAGTCCAGCCTGCCCCAGGCGAGGCCACTGCTGGCCCCACTTGGACCTTCCTTCTCGTGGGGGCGGCGGGGGCAGTGGTTTGTCCTGACAGATACAAATTCCAGACACGTTTCACCTCTCCGCCTGAGAGCTGGCGCCGTCACCACCGCCCACGGCCCTCAGGAGACGGGGACCAGCCCAGGTCTCCCTCATGCTGGGCACAGGGAGCCCCAGAATGCACCTGTCTGGCCTCGGGCCCCATCACCCGGTTCCCCTTCACCCAGCTGCTGGGGTTCAGAGCGCAGCGCCCCAGCCCTGATCCCGGCCCATCCAGCTGCGCCCACACCCTTCTCTGCCCTGCGTGGTGCCCCCGCGGGGGGCCTCCATGGGCCCCTCGCACCCCGCTTTTGGGGCAGGGGGTGCTGGCCTCCGCCCACAGGCTGCACCTCGGCCCTGGCCACACGCCCGCGCCTCTCTCTCAGCGGCTGCTCCGTTCACCCCGAGGCCCGGGAGCGAGCTCCGCCTCCCCGACGTTCGCTTTTACTTCAAAGTGCCCTCACCTGCGGAGAAGGCCCCTCAGTACACTCCCCGGCCATCTGCTCTCGGCCTGGGCCCTGACCAACGCGGGATGGACCAGGACCACCAGCCGCACCCCACGAAGGCTCCATGTGCCGTCCCTGGGTATCAGGACCCCGGATCTCTCCACCCTTCCTGGGGTTCGGCCTTTTCCAAGAGGTTGTAGAAAGAGACGAGACCCTGGACACTAGGCGGAAAGCTCCTGGCAACGACTGGAAACAATTCCTGGGGGGCCACCCCCCTCCATGTCAGACGGTGGCTGTTTACCCTGGCAGCTCCTGCCAGCGGCCGCTGTCAGCACGGGGAAGCCGCCAGGAGGGGATTCTGAGCAAGGGTGGCTGCCCCCCATGGAGGGCGTTCTGGCCCCGGCTCTTCCGTGGGCCTGGCCCTTCTGTCAGCCCAGTTCTTCCGTGGACCCGGCTCTTCCGTGGGCCCGGCTCTTCCGTGG